GTACAGCACATTAATTCGATATTATATTATAAATTTGAAATGCATACAATTTCCATCGAGCTTATATATGGGTAAACACACAAGAGCAGACGCTTATGTTTACTATCACAATATCTAGTTATGACGTTATTTGTTCCGCGCGTGACATGCAACACAAATGGCACAACAACAAAAAAAGTTCTAAAATAAAAACATGACATTTTATGCTTTCAAGGGTAAAGGTTTTAATACTGATCTGCTACACTGTGTCGCTCCATAACAAATGTCTCCTCGCGACACTATGAAATCACTATTATTCATAAAACAAAATGTGAATTGTCGTAGAGAATGCACTTACCGCTTTGAAATGTTGGTGAGAAATGTACAGCAGTCTGTTTTCTCTGTACACAATAAAAAAATAACGCGCACAGTCCAACAAACTCACACACAGCGCGCGTGCATAAATACTTCTCGCTGCTGTGAAAGAGTCAAGGAAATGGAGTTTTCAGATTGTATTTCCACTGTTGCCGTCACCTTTTTTCAAATGTTCTGGTTATCGCTGGAAATATCAGCGGCGGATTTGTTAAACGAGCGTTCGAGAATGTCTTCCGTAATTTCCATAGATGAAGCGAGCGCCTGTGTTTGCAACTGTCCTCTCGCGCTGATGTCTGACCGTTGCTTGTCGCTTGTGCTCTACATGTGTCAGTGACAGAAAAAAAGCCTAGAGTAAACCTCATCTCACATGATGACGTCAATCGGGCTGCAGCCAATCACGACGCACTCCATACAAGCAGAAATGACAAATCCAGCCAATCAGGGGAAGTCGAGATTTACTAAGACACACTCTGTTCAAAGGAGGAAAGATTGCGGTTGAGTGGGCTCTGTCTGCTTTTTGGGGTTGAATAGGGCAGTGGTTCTCAAGCGGGAGGGTCAGGACTCGGGACCCACTAGGGGGCCTCACTAAACTTACGCTGTACAATTATTAAAGAGAAATAGTTATAATATACTGAAACAAGTTCACAATTAAAGCGCAAAATCGGCTTGAAATAGCCAAATGTGCATAATATTTCTTAATCTGGAAAAAAAAACAAGAACTCATTACTACAACAACCATAAATACTTGTCAATTGTTAACATAACTAAAATGTGTGTATTGGTTGTTTTCACCCTATTTGCTAATGTTTTATTTCATTTAAACGGTTAGGCCCTAAAGGCTATTTACAGTGAGTAATTTAAGTAATAAATGACAAAAAAAAAAATAGTCCTATATAATATGTATTTTGTTCCTATCATTTTAAAAACAAATCTTGAGATTAAATATGAATAAATTATTTGTAACAGCCCCCTTCTCTTAATTCTTTATTTTTCATTTTTTTTTTTTTTTTTTTTTTTTTTAAACTAAGCTCCCATTTTTGTTATAACAGCAGAAGTATACAGGAATAATAATCATAAGTTGGCTGTGTAGGAAATACATTAAAATACTGGCTTTAACAGTGGGGGACCTAAGATTGGAAACCACTGATATAAATGGCACAATCTGTTCATGTAAAAATCATAAGCAAGCAGTAGGCTATTCAGAAATCCGTGGAAATATTTATCCTGCAATGGCAGACTACGATCCTTCTCATAGACCAAAATTTTCCATATGAAATAAACTTTTCAATCTCTCAGTTTTCTATATTAGGGAAACTGTACAAAAGTCCATTGAGTTCCACGGACAAGGTGAAAATTCAGTATACCAACACAGCCAAGGTCTTGCTTATGTTCCTTATTACAGTGGCGCCATCCACTGGTACAAAGAAGAACTACATTAATTGATTTTGAAACTTTTTTTTTTCATTTACTGAGACTCATAAAGTAAATAAAATGTTAAAATAATCTAATAAATCATTCATTCAATTAACTGATGATGCTGAATATGTCACAAAAAAATAGAAATACCAAGATCCACAATATTCTTCAACTAAGGAATATGAAACAGTTAGTTCGTATAGGCTCTATCCCCAGAGATTAATTCTTTGCTATGGCAATTGCTCATGTAGTGTTGTCTATTGTTCACATAACTACAAAGAAGTGACTAAATGTTTGTCATTTTTATTATTTCACAATTAAAGAACCTGTAACCAGCTTTTTCTGCAAAAAGGCCTATTTATCTTACTGAAACTTAATCTCTGTTTACTTGCAAAAGTAACGTGCCGTCTGTAAAGTACTGCTTTATTATGCATTATTGTGCTCTGTCATGAAGAAATGAACATGGCTCTGCGTTTTTTTTTTTTTTATGATATCTTAATAATAGTTTCAAATTGATTTCCATTCGTCACTCTGAACTGTCTTCCTTCAATGTTCCAGTCTGAAGAAGCAGGAAGTGAAACATTCTGTGATGTTCAACAGTTTTCACTGGGCATCTAATCTTTACAAGACAAAACTGTGTAATTATGAGTTGCCTCTGGATTCATTAGTAAGATGTACATTGTGTAAAGAGTCTCCTATACCAGATACTAATGGTTTAATTGTCGTTGGTCTTGCCTGATTGCAGTGAGCAGTTTGATTTCCCTGCAGGAAAGGCAACTCTATTTCTCACAGGATTGGGCTCAATTCTCTCCAACAAGAACAATGAGCCAAAGATGGCAAAGAATGTATTTTCACGAAGGAATAATTAATTTATCTCAACTATTAAAACTAGTGGGAAATTATGGGATGACTCTGAATGGGGGCCTCAGAGGAAAAGCTTTGTTTGTTCTTGGGCTGTTTTAATGAGCTTTTCACAAATGGCCAAGAAAAAATACTTCTTTCTCTTCTCCTTTTGCAAAATGATAGTCACACACAATAATGAGTATGGGTGCTTAGGGGATCCCGTGGAAAAAGAGCAACACCAAGCCCCTTTTCCTGATCTCCTGATGTCCTATAGCATATCCTTAGCATCTGTGTTGTGATTGCAAACAGCGAAAATGGAAACGAAACGCACAGGCATGGAGCAAAGGCACTATTTACAAAGCAGAGAGAAAGTGAAAGAGATAGAGATGGTATACAGTATCAATACCCCCACATAGGGAGAGAAAGAGCTCATAATGAAGTTTGTGTCCTCTGGGGGAAACCAATTGAAGCCGGTAAGAGACATAGAGTATTCACCGTGATGCTTCATTTCGAATACGAAATTTACCCCTCATGATATTGCATTATTATGCTGTTAAACTGAGTGGCTCTCCATCACGCAGCAATGGAAAAAGGCTGAAAAGGCCTTTAAGACATTTTAGATCCATAAAAACACAACATGATATGATTCAGGTATGATGCAGAACTGGAATAGGACAAAACGCTGTGTTATCCCAATTCTAAGACAACATTCTCACACACGGCAGTTGCAATGTATCTGTGTCCGTGTCAAGGCCTTGCATCAATACAGAGAAAATGGATCATTGATTAGTAAATAAAGAAGGGTAGTGGTTGAAAATGTATACTTTTCAGGGAATTTAGCATTGGTGCGTGGAGTTCCCAATCAGCAAACTGCCCTTCATTGAGAGCTGATCTATGGCCAAATGAAATGAAAAGTCAACTGCTGAAATGGTTTTTCAAATGTGAATTCAATGGAGCCTGAGGTCTTTAGTCTCATATCATCTATGTGAGGAAATGTTGCTAACACTTCTCTGTTTTCCATTAAGAGCCTGGCGAGTGTACTTTACCCAGGTGAGTGGAACATGCCTGCAGCACCTAGATGGGTGGCGTGACACTGAGAAATATCGAATTGCATATTTCAAGACAGATTGTTTGTTCTACTCATAAAGATGGAGAAAAAATCTCAAAGTCATTTCTTTAATATGCTGTTATTGACTGCTTTGATCAATCTTGTGTCAGCAGCGAGCAAGTAAGTGAGCTTAATTAAATACAAATCGATAATTCCTTAACAAATAGCGCATGGACTCGAGAAACAGACCCAGCAGAATTAATCGGAGAGCATTTGTGTTGCTAAACGTTTGGGAAACTTCATCAAGAATTCAGCTCTCCATCTTTGGTGAACATTTATACATTATGCATGTCATTTAAATGTAATTAGAGGTCCTAATATGTTAATCTCTTTCATTTATTTGGCAAAGCTTTTTTGTAATTACATTGTTGTAAACAATGATAAAACTGTGTCCTCATGCATGCAATTGGATAATTGGCTACTCACAACACATTTAGTAGATTAGACTAAAACTATTATACAATCATATCTGGGAAACTGGCTGTAAGATGCCTACTGTGTCTTAATTTCCAGTCATGGGTTGCTGATGTAATGGAGAAACACATACTTATGGGTGATTTGGTGTGTGTGTGTGTGTGTGTGTGTGTGTGTGTGTGTGTGTGTGTGTGTGTGTGTCCATGCGTTTTAACGTTTATCCTTTTTGGTAACACTTTATTTTGATAGTCCACTTTAGACATTCAACTAACTATCATTAGAGTATTAGTAGACTATCTGCTTAATATCTGCAAACACTTTATTTTGTTGGTCCCCCAATAGATATTCTACTGACTATAAGTAACTTAGCAACTACAAGTCAACTTGTTCTCCTAACCTGAACCCTAACACCAAACCTAACAGTCTACTGACAGTCTACAGTCTACCAATACTCTAGTGACAGTTAGTTGACATGTAGTTGAAAAGTTACTTATAGTTATAGTAGAATGTCTAAAGTGCCTATCAAAATAAAGTGTAACTTTTTTTTTATTTGCACAGACCAGAAGTCACAGCCCATTCTCACCTCCAAGGCGTCACCTAACTGACGCCTTGGGAAGCATTTGGACATGCTTCAATATCTAAAGCTTTAGGCGCCCTTTAGCGTCAGTTAGATGACGCCCTAGGATCGCGTGTACCCTACCCCCACCCCACACCTAAACCTAACCGCGTCCTCTAACAGACGCTTTCCGTTAGTGTCAGTTGGATGACGCCGTAGGATCGCGTCATGTAAGTTGCGCCTAAAACGTCAAATATTGAAGCATGGTCAAAGGTGACGCCTTGGGGTGAGAATGCGTTGGAAGTCATGGGCCAACTGGACTCAAATCTACATCTCCCATATGAGCACAACAGCTCAACAAGTGATGCTAAACCTGTCAGGACAAATCTCCAAAAAACTTTTCTTGTTTTAAATGGGAGAAATGAAAGCTATACAGGGTTTTGGCTGTATTGTCAGGGAACATCATACCCAGAGACAGATGTTAGTTTCAAACCACCATTAAGGTGCCAACCAATTCTTCACAATTCTCCACCGATTCTTATTAAGGTGCAGGAAAGACAATCAGGTGAGTATGGTAAAACTGCAGGTGCTGAGTGGTTGACAGTATGATAAAAGGAGTCTTTGTTGTGTTGTCAGGGTGAAGAGGAGATCGTGAAGATGGATCAGAGGATGAACGGAGGACACTCCTCGTTGATGTCAGAGCATTAGAATTCAGGTAAGCGGATGTCAGGAAAACTTGGCTCACAGGAACATATTTTCAAGATTTGTTATCACAACATATTTTCTTTTGTCAAATCAACTTTATAATAATTTATTTCGTTGAGATAACTTATTATTTTGAGTTTCTGATCATTGTATTAACTCACTTTTTCCAGTTCAATCAACTTTAAATTTTAAGACAACTTACTTTTTTAAGTTAAAACAACAATATTCTTTTTACAGTGTTAGTAATCACAACATTTTTTCTTTTGTCAAATCAACTTAAATAATTCAATTAGTTCAGTTAACATATAATTTTGAGTTTCTGATGATTCAATCATTCTCCTTCATTGTATTAACTCAATTTTTCCAGTTCAATGAACTTAAAATTTTAAGGCAACCACTTACTTTTTTAAGTTAAACCAACAATATTTTTGTTACAGTGGGATTCACAAGGAGAAGAATCACAAGAACGTTGAAGCATCACTGGGAGAGTCTTAGTGTAAGTAGAGTGGGTAAGTGGTCCATTGTCCATAGATGAGACCAGACCATCACTGTGGAGTGTGAGGTGTGTGTTATCCAGGTCTAATGGAGTGCTGATTGGCATGCTGATGTGGAACATGTGCAGGTGATCATTATTATGGAGTGAATGTTGGGTGTGTGAGACAGTGGAGCCTGGTGAAACCATGACAAGGATATGCATAAAGTGCTGTTTACACAACACCATTTTCAACTAAAAACATACAACTTTGTATACGTTTTGGTTGGTCATTTACACGATAATGTTTTGGGGCCTGAAAAATGCAATCTTTTGTAAAATTGTGTTTCAAATTGCAAGTTTTTGAAAAAAAAAACATTATTGTCTCGGTGTAAACTACATAAATGCACATTTGTGAAAATTGTGACGTCATGCGCATGCATATTACATGTTCTTTAGTTGTGCAAATTTTTTATAAAGTGACTGCCAACTGTAATGCCCTGGCATGCATAATACAGTGTTTTTAGTCATTTTCACGGATCCTTGTGAACAGGGATAATTTTGACAAGTTTGTCGTCTGTATGTGAAAAAAGCAAAAGAAAAACCTCTCGTTTTTTAGTACATCATTGATGTGTAAACATACCCTAAGTCTCAGACTCTGACTCTCTCGGAAGCAATGGTCTACCTCTGGGACATGAACCTCAGAAACAGTGGAGGCTGGTAAAAGAGTACGCACTGGAAGGGAATAAGTCCAGGTTGGTGGCCATAGCAGAAGGTTCTTAGGAAACACCTGGTCTCCTGGATCTTGCTTTCCATTTGCCCGTTAGACTGGGGATGGTAGCCAGATGAGATGGCAACCCAATGGAGAAGGCTCAGAGGCATTGGAGGAGGTGAGGTCGAGTGTCCATTGGATAGGACTCACAATGAGATGACGAGGTAGGATGGATTTAGGTTCTTCAGATATTTCCTTAGAAGTATGAAGAATTGACTGTGCATCCACTTTGGCATTCTTTGAGTGTGGACAGTAGGAGATGTGAAAATTGATGGAAAAGCAACTATGAAGGGCTTGGTCTGGATGGATCAGGAGCAGTGCACTGGTGAAAGCTTCCTTGAAGCTCCGAAAAGTGGTGGCTTCTGGTGCCCAGGACAGAGGCCATTTCTCAATACCAAGTATGCAAACTTCGGACTTGCATCCTTGGTAATTCGGTCTTGCCAAGTTCGACTCAGGAGAACGAACAAACTCCCAAGGATGAGAGGATGCAAGTCCACTTCTTCTGCAAATGGAACAGAACATTCTTGATCGTGTCACTCAGCACGCTTTGGCTACTCCGGTTATCTCTTTATGTATATTTTACACAACAATAAAATGAAATATAGCTGCAAGCAGCCATTACCGGGGCCAAGCGCAAGAAGCGGCAACATATGCCAAAATGGCTAGGAGTGGCAGACCAACTGCAGCAAGGAACAATTACGGGCATTTTGAGAGAACTTTTGGCAAATGGCTAAAAAAATCACATAAACATTACCTTATAAGATGATTTAATGGGTTATCACTTTCGAACAATAGGTGGCGCAGTTCCGAAATAGATGTGATGTGGTCAGAGTGAGGTGACAATGACACATGCAAAGTTTGGTGTCAAAATGTGAAGGCATTGCAGAGATAAAGCCTAAATAGTAATTTTGGCAGCATGCCTAAACTTTGATGCTGTGTTATACCAAAACGGTTTTGTCCATCATCGTGCAATTCATAACTTTTAGTCGGCACAGTCTGGAGATGATACGATTAAATTTTCGTGAAAATTGGACAAACGGTCTAGGAGGAGTTCGAAAAAGAAGGTTTTTCAAAGAAATAAAGATGACGGACAGGAAGTTTGTCTGATTATGGAAAACCTGATATCTATGTTTTCAGCATAACCCAAGGAATCTATTAAGATCAGTTTCATTGCAATAGGCACATTTATTCAAACGTTATTAGCGTTTTCAGAAATTAATTATGACTTTTGACCAACAGGTGGCGCTGTCTCAAAATCTTTTGAGTACCTTCAGGGCATGCTGCTTATGGCACACACTGAGTTTTGTAATATTACACCAATGCATTTGTTTAGTATAGCATTTTATTTCACAAAACTCTATTGAAGTCAATGGGAATTTCACGTTTTCTTCTTTTATAGCGCCACCAAGAGCCTCAGTCCCACAATTTTTTTCCTGTGTCTTCAGAGTGAGCCCATACATATGTGTGTCAATTTTGATGAAAATATCTCAATTAGCTTCCGAGTTATAAACATTTATATGAAAAAACACGTAAAAAATGACTGACACATGACTTTTTTTGAATTTTACTACCCCTTACTATCAATATTTTCGCATTTGGGCAATTGCATATAGTTAACAAGCTTTGATTCCGTGTTTCTGGCGGTGGTTTCGTCTCGATCGGAACAGCGGTTTTGAAGATATCGCCAAGTGTTTTTTTCGCGCTAAATTGCTACGCTACACCAACCGTAACACGAAACCCAGCATGTTTAGTATCGTTGGACTCGGCAACGATTCAGGAACTCAAAAAGATGACTCCCGTGAAAATAAGTGTACCACACCCAAAGTTATAAGCGTTTGAAAAAAAAATTCACCACTAGGTGGCGCTGTTTCGAAACTTCTCAGGCTTCTTCAGGGCATCGTACTGATGACCCATACCGAGTTCCGTAACAATTCGTTCATGCGTTCAAAAAATACAGCATTTTAGCACATAATTCAAAATGGCCGACAGCCAAAATGGCCGATCTGGGAAAATTGGATATCAGTCGACTCGGCATGATGCCCTGAATCTAACGAGATGAAGTTTATGATTTTTGGACAAACCGTTCAGAAGTTACGAGCAAAAATAGCCATTTTTCATATCTCCGGACCACTAGGTGGCGCTGCGCCGAAACGCAGCACGTAGCCTCAGGTCATGCTTGTGATGACACGTACAAAGTTTGGTCTGAAAACGAGTAAGCGTTGCGGAGATACAGCCTCACGTCTGTTTTCGCAAGCGCTACGTAAAATTAGTTTGCGCGCTTATCGAAAACGGTTATTCGAATCATCATGAATTCCATAACTTTTTGTCAGCACTGCCTGGAGATGATCCGGTGCGATTTTGGTGAAAATCGGACAAACCGTCTAGGACGAGTTCGCAAAAGTAGGTTTTTTGGAAAATTCAAAATGGCGGCCGTTTTTTTATGACGGAAAATGACGTCATAGGGTGCGATCGAATCGGCATGAGCTCAGGAACAAGAGGAAAAAAGAATTTTGTTGATAGGCCTTACGGTTCAAAAGTTATTAGCATAATAAAAGTGAAACTTTGGACAGTTGGTGGCGCTAGAGGGAATGAGTTAGAGACACCAAAATTGGTGTATTTAAAGTTGGGACTGTCCTCTATCAGAATGTCAAACCAAAACAACTTTCCCGCAAACCGGTCTATGGGCTGCCATAGACGCCCAGTCGGAAGAAGAATAATAATAATAATAAATATAGCTGCAAGCAGCCATTACCGGGGCCAAGCGCAAGAAGCGGCAACATATGCCAAAATGGCAAGGAGTGGCAGACCAACTGCAGCAAGGAGCAATTAAGGGCATTTTGAGAGAACTTTGGGCAAATGGCTAAAAAAATCACATAAACATTAACTTATAAGATGATTTAATGGGTTATCACTTTCGAACAATAGGTGGCGCAGTTACGAAATAGATGTGATGTGGTCAGAGTGAGGTGACAATGACACATGCAAAGTTTGGTGTCAAAATGTGAAGGCATTGCAGAGATAAAGCCTAAATAGTAATTTTGGCAGCATGCCTAAACTTTGATGCTGTGGTATACGAAAACGGTTTTGTCTATCATCGTGCAATTCATAACTTTTAGTCGGCACGGTCTGGAGATGATACGATTCAATTTTCGTGAAAATCGGACAAACGGTCTAGGAGGAGTTCGAAAAAGAAGGTTTTTCAAAGAAATAAAGATGGCGGACAGGAAGTTTGGCTGATTATGCAAAACCTGATATCTATGTTTTCGGCATAACCCAAGGAATCTATTAAGATCAGTTTCATTGCAATAGGCAAATTTATTCAAAAGTTATTAGCGTTCTCAGAAATTAATTATAACTTTTGACCAACAGGTGGCGCTGTCTCAAAATCTTTTGAGTACCTTCAGGGCATGCTGCTTATGGCACACACTGAGTTTCGTAATGTTAGACCAAAGCATTTGTTTAGTATAGCATTGTATTTCACAAAACTGTATTGAAGTCAATGGGAATTTCACGTTTTGTTCTATTATAGCGCCACCAAGAGGCTCAGTCCCACAATTTTTTTTATGTGTCCTCAGAGTGACCCCATACATATGTGTGTCAATTTTGGTGCAAATATCTCAATTTACTTCCGAGTTATAAACATTTATATGAAAAAACACGTAAAAAATGACTGACACATGACTTTGTTTGAATTTTACTACCCCTTACTATCAATATTTTCGCATTTGGGCATTAGCGTATAGTTAACAAGCTATGATTCCGTGTTTCTGGCGGTGGTTTCGTCTCGATCGGAACAGCGGTTTTGAAGATATCGCCAAGTGTTTTTTTCGCGCTAAATCGCTACGCTACGCCATCCGTGAGACGAAACCCGACATATTTGGTATCGTTGGACTCGGCAACGATTCAGGACCTCAAAAATATGACTCCCGTGAAAATAAGTGTACCACACCCAAAGTTATAAGCGTTTGAATAAAAAATTCACCACTAGGTGGCGCTGTTTCGAAACTTCTCAGGCTCCTTCAGGGCATCGTACTGATGACCCATACCGAGTTTCGTAACAATTCGTTCATGCGTTCAAAAAATACAGCATTTTAGCACATAATTCAAAATGGCCGACAGCCAAAATGGCCGATCTGGGAAAATTGGATATCGGTCGACTCGGCATGACGCCCTGAATCTAACGAGACCAAGTTTTTGATTTTTGGAGAAACCGTTCAGAAGTTACGAGCAAAAATAGCCATTTTTCATAT